AACAGACTACCACAAAACACACACAGTTTTTATGATCAAATTAATCTTTTATTCATTGACTTTTAGTACTATAAAACTCAACCAATATATCAAATCAACTCGTCTGGATACGTTGAATGTTTCAAAATGGGTTAATTTGATGATTCATTCAGACACTAAGTGTTCTCTGGATTGTACAATTCAATTATGGTCTGAGGTTTTATATTGTCTGAGGTCAGAGCCTATTTCCCATGTTTTCTCCAGAGCTGATTGGATGCTTGAGGAAAGGACACTGTTTAAGTACACCCCTCTCCACTTACAATTTTCTGTTGTATTCAACGGATTTTAAAGTGAGTGTTTGGCTTTTATTCTGTCATGCAATATTAGCTATTAATTTCGTATTTTTCCATGCTGTATGGTGCACATTTATTATCTTTATAGGACACAAATGAGGCTTCAAGCATTGCTCGCATGTTTTCTAGCTGGAACATCTGGAGTTCCGGTGAGTCACTGATGTTCATCCAGTTAAAACTCGAGTTGTTTAGAAATATTTCAGGGTTACGTTATAGAAATCATACTTCATTCATGCTAATTCATGCTAATTAATGAATGTTTATTACTTCTCTGTGTGAACGCACTACTGCGTTAATAATCTGAGGTGCAGCAAATAGTGATATTTCATAATTTATAACACTAAAAGCATCATTTGAAAGTCACCTTTCACTGATTATGTAACTCAGATACTATTCATTTTCAATCAACCTTTTCACAGATCTCCCCAAATGCTGATTTGATGGAATCAGTCCCAGTGGGAGATATGCCAGCACAGGGAACCCCAGTGATACAGTCCTCACTGCCTGGATCTGAGGTGTTGGTACAAGTCCAACATGTGCCGCAGCAGTTTAAGCCTGAACCTCCCAGAATGCTCTCTGGTCCTCAGCCACATATGCCCACTCTGACCAATCCATGGGCATCTCAAACCAACCCCAATACTGGTCTCAGTCAGCTTCCAGTACACTTCCAGTACTTACCCTATCCTCATGCCCAGCAACCGCAGGTAAGAAACCTTCGTGAATTCACTCGGTTTAATCTCATATATACATGTGTATATAGAATATATATAGAATTTAAAATGTTTTAGCATAAATTAAACACTGTATTGTATTTTTACTGTATTTTTCAGTTTTTTTTATTATCCAATTCTTGGACCACAATAAAAGAACCCACCAGTAAGAGTGTTTCCATCATTCATTCAGTGTACAATATCAGAAATATGTGTGGTTTTGTTTGTAGTCAGCAGAAATAACGCCACAGGAAGAGCTGACAGACCATCTGGGTTCAGCAGGTTTATTCTGATTTGAGATCCAAACCCAAACTTAATTAACTTTTGCTATGTGACCCTCAAGCAAGCCTTTGTGTTTTAAACTGTTTGGTAAATGATCAGAAATATTTTGCTGGAGTAAATCTTCTTGTCTGTCTTCTGTGTGTCAGATCTGAAGCGTTTTGATTTATTGAGGAAACCCTTTGCACTCGATGTGTCCAAACAAAGAGAGTTTACGTAATACATTGGCTCATGTATCAGTAAAATGTGTGCACACTAATAAAATCTCTGTCAGCAATTTGTCAGCTCAGCATATTTACCATTTATAAATCCCAAGAGGAGTCAACTAGTTCATTCAGTCTTTTCATTGAATATCATCTGGCCCAAAATGCACTTATTTTTGCGTCTTTCTTTCAGAGTTTTTGCACACTTGTCAGTCTTCTAATTCATAACTTTACATTATTTCTCTCTTGCCCCTTTCCATCATCAGTTCTCCTATGGAGTGCCTGGTTTCCAGCATGTAACATCTTCAAGAAACTACTAAAAACATCTGTTCCATCTTTATTTGACCCTCTAACTCTAGCACTTTCAATTCTATTTTAATTCTGCTTTATCTATTTATCTTCTTTTTTATTTAAAAAAAACAAAAAACAAACAACAACAAAAAAACACTAGCTTTCTATTTTTTCTATTCTATCTACTTGTTTTTCTTTGTGTGTGTGTGTGTATATATGTGTGTGTGTGTGTATATATATATATATATATATTCAATATCTATAAATACCTTGCTAGGCTAACTGAGACTTGTCATTTGCACTTACATATTTTTGCTCTTTTGTTAGTTTTTGATTGCTTCTGTTGTCCTCATTTGTAAGTCGCTTTGGATAAAAGTGTCTGCTAAATGACTAAATGTAAATGTAAATGTAACATCTCAACAATATACCGCTAATGCAGTTCCAGCTTCACAGCCATTAATGACACAAAACAAACAACACAAGCCTCTAAACCAGCCTCAGCAACAGCAGGTATATCAACACAAACTTTCTGGACTCAAGCAGCTCTAGCTTTTTGAAAAAAATAGTCTAATATATCACATGTTTTTCCACAGGTTCATCAATTTCTTTACATGGTTCCACAAATTCAACAACGAATGGTAAATGAATCAATTTAAATAGCTTTCAAATGGAATATTTATTCATCATAAGTATGTTTTATTTGGGTGTAATTCCTTATGTTAATGCATTTTAAAGGCTGGACCATATGGTGGATTGAGCTCTGAGGAACTTCAGGTAAAATTAGATGGCAATGATGTTTAAAAGTCTTAGAACAATAGTGAAGATGCTTCTTTTAGCATTAATCTGGTTATATTATATTATATTATATTATATTATTAGTATTTGGTTTGTCCCCATTTTTTGAATTCATGTCAATGTCACATATTTTCTTATTTTATTAGTGACCTAAAAAAGAAGACTTTGATATATTTCTTCTCATAACTTCTGACACCACTGTATCTTTATTTTTTATTATTTTTTTAAATGTATTGGATTATACACACAGAACATGGGACGCATGCGTCGTGTTGACTAGCACATGCCTGCACTTAGAGGCAATGTTTTTCCTGTAGCTGGACCACAACCTGTTGTACCTGTTAGCCCTTTAAGACCGACCAAGACCTTCCACCCCAGCACCTTTCTGACCATTCTGACCATTTGTGCTACCCGCTCAGATTGTGCTAACTCCCATCAAAAAGATATAGGTAGCACAAATCGATAGCGAAAAATGCTACCTATCAGATTGTGCTACCAGCATCTTATTCATATTGTTTGTGGCTTTTTTTCATGTCCATACCTACCCCTACCCTAAACCTACCCGTCCACACCTACCCTTACCCTAAACTTACCCTTAAAACAATGTAAATATATTTTTGGTAGAACAATCTGATAGGTAGCATGCTTCGTTGGTACACCGGCAACTTCTTAAGTTCAGCTACCCAGCGTTGTAGCTGCACCACGTCCTGCCTGCTGAAGACCCCTTAGCCAACACTGGACTTTTGGTTTCAGATCATGGGCCTTTCATTTCTGCAGTTGTGCCCACTGTCCAGCCTGATCCCCATCACAGTGATCCTACATTCCCAACACCAGAATACAAAGAAGCTCTCGTTCCAGCATCCCCACCACTGCGTTCTGATACTGTCAACACTAACACTGATATGTACCCCTAAGACAAATCTTTACTACAAATCTGCATCTTATATCATGCTAATGCTCTATAAATTGGGTTAAGGCAGCATAATGGAAGCTTTTAAATCTTTTTCATAGCAATTCTGGTACTTTTCATGTATCTTTTTGGTTTGTTTATCTGTTACTGTTTCTTTTATTCTACGCACAAGAGATATTTATTTATTTATTTAGTCATTTAGCAGACGCTTTTATCCAAAGCGACTTACAAATGAGGACAACAGAAGCAATCAATTGTAGTATTATACCTAAACAGACATAATAAATCCAGACATAATTTAACTAAAATTAAAATAAATAACAAATACAAATAATACAAATCAAACGACAGTAGTTTATCAGTAATCCATAAAAGATATGAACTAAAGTTTTGACTTTGTGTGGATTAGTCTAAATGTTAAAAGCTTTTGTGCTGTGAACTGTGTGTGGGCCTCAACATATATATCTGACTTGTAATTAAATACTAAGTTAATTACAGTCTGAAGCTCCTTCTGTGTTGCATACAGTATAACTGTCATCAAGTGTCAGCGGTGTTAATAGTACTGGAAAAATGTGCACACTTAACACTTAACTCAGAGAAAAACAAGCTGAGTGAATAAAAAGTATAGAATTAAAGTGTAGCGCGTTCCTGATTATTAATGCCATCAGAATAACAGAATCACCTGTTTATAGAGGATCAGGGAAACTATCTACTGTTAACTTACTTAAAAAATGAATAGAAGCATTTGATAAAATTCTGTGACAAATTTTTCAAGGTCCAGTTTATTGATAAATGTTCCTGATTAGTACAAACAATGTATGGAGGCACATTGTAGACTAAAGGTATCCAAAAATACAAATTATGACAAGATTAATGCCAATAAACTATTTAAAGTTCAAAGTTTTAAGCAACACATGAAAAAATGAACATAAAAAAATGAACATAATGACTTCGTAAATCTTTACATGAAAGGCAGCAACGTCAAATGATTGACTTTCACTGATGTTTCCCAAAAATGTAAATCCAGATTATAACTCAAAGAAAGTGGGTACTGCATATATTTCTTTTCACACAATATTGCAAGAACCATTTATATTCAATAGAAAATAATTTAAAACATTGCTTAGGTACAGTGGTTTTGTTTATTTAGGTATTTATTATATATATTATTTATGAATGCTCAGCCAGGCAGAAGGTTTTTACAGCTTAGACAAGTGAGAACAGTGCTGTCAGATATTATGATTTCATCACCTGTGCCATAAATGTATTTTTGGATTGCGTTTGATTTATTTGTACTATACTGTGACATACCTTTAATGTATCTTGCCAGATTTCAATATAATTAAATCAATATAATCACAAGCACAGCCAAAATTTTGCTTCGAGATAAGAAAATATGTATTTATGCATTTTTGTTCTCTATAAAGGAACTTGGCTGGTCACCAAAACCAATGAGATGCTGATGTTATGGGCCTTTTGTTTTCAAAACGAATATAAGGGGTAGATCTAGAGAGCAGTATCACAAAATCCTCCTCAACAATCCCTGATCAAGCTCATCAGTCTTAAACAAAGGTAAGGTACTATTAATTTAATGAATGGTCATCAGTAACTTTGCTGTTTGGGGTTGAATGTCTAGTTCTAGTTCTAGATCCTGTTGTAGATGACTACATATAAGATATTGAACAATGAAACTATATCTTTCACAAAAATGTGTATTTCATGTTTCATTTCAGACGTTATCATTCAACATGAGAACCCTCTTTTTGCTGGCATTTGTCATTGGAGTGACCTACTGTGCTCCGGTACGTCATCTACAGTATTTGTCTGTTATATATTTATTCATGAATCAGCTATGACAAGAGAATATGTGATACTACTGTAGCTTTGACTGTCCTGTTTTTTGACCCACAGCAATTGATGTATTATGAGCTAGAGCTCCACAGGTCAGTTTGGTCCAAACATGAAATAAATACATATTTCTTGTTTAAAATGACAGCCTAAATGAAATGCTTCATAGCATATGGGAATATATAGTTCATGTAAAGGAATATATATGTCATATTTGATAATACTGCAGTTTGTATTGTATAAGAAGTGTGTATAATGATCTACAGGCTCTTGTTGCGGCTGCCGCCGCAGCTAGACCTTCTGAAGTCGAAATTGTAAGTGTGGTCTTTGTTAAATAGATTAATTTTAGCATCACTCAATAATATATTACTCAGACTATTTTATTTTATTTTATTTTATTTTATTTTATTTTATTTTATTTTATTTTATTTTATTTTATTTTATTTTATTTTATTTTATTTTATTTTATTAGTTTATTTTATTAGTTTATTTTATTTTATTTTATTTTATTTTATTATTTTATATCAGCTCTTGGCAGCTCAGCAGGCTGCAGCTGGAGTTCCTGTAAGTTTCAATAGTTTTAATTTCTTTTCACAGTGTATTATGGCCTGCTATAGTTTAGCATGCAATCAGTTCTCATTTTGTCTTATTCTCCACAGGCTCAACCTGTCCGTGGCTTCATTAAGCATGAGATTCCCCAGCCCGGAGGCAGAGAAAGCATTGAAGTTGTATGTGTTTCCACCTTTTTTAATTGTCTACTGTTACACACAATGTGAATCTCCAGTACGATGCCCCCATTTCTTTCCAATTATGTAGAAGTGAATTCATTTTCCTTTGTTTTCTAGCTGTACCCATTCGGCTTTCCTCAAGCTGCTCCAGCTGCCCCTGCTGTTCCTGCTGTTCCTGCTGCCCCAGTACAGTCCAAACTGAACATTTGTAATATGTATTATAATTTCAAATATGTATATATGTGGCTATTTCTCATTTTTTGTATTTTTTAGGCCCCTGTTCCAAAGGACGATGATGATGACGATCATGATGACTAAACCAGACTGGTTGGTTCAGTAATAATTAACCGATATATCCATCATAATGCTGCAATGCCATCAGTTTAACAGTTTTGTTCAATGGAAAATGCAACTTTATACACTGGTCACTCACACTGGCATTTTACATAGAGAAAGTTTATTTATTTATTTTTTATTTTGTAAATAAAAGAAAGATTACTAGAGTAGGTTATTCAAGAAAATAATATTTCAGTCATTCTACTTCAAATGTTCATGTTTAATCAGTCTGTTGTTGCCTGTCTTTGTAATTATTAATTTTGAAATTAACTTGCAATTTCTGAGTAAAAACTGTGTCTATACTTTTTTTTTTTGCAGTAAATATGTTACAGCTTTGAGCAACATATTATTCTTGTTTAATTTTATTCTAACATAAACAATAGAATAGACACATTTACATATACAACACATTTCTAAAGCCTTTATATAGAGTTTCATTCATTTTTATTTCAGTTTTAATTTAGTTATAAGATTGTGTATAAGAAGTTATAAGTGTATAAGAAATAATGGACTAAATAAAAATAAGAAAATTGTTTTATGGTTTTAGTTTTAGTTAACTCTGCTGTAAATATGTCCTTTTGGTACCTGAAGTAGTAATTTCTACCTGCCCTAACCCTTAAAATTACTTATTAGGTTTCTGTAACCTAATGTATTCAGGTTTATTCAGTCATATTAAATAAAAATTTAATTTAATTTATTATTTAATTTATTTATTGTTTTATTAAAGATGGTGCCACATGAAGCATATTTAAAGATTACCTGAAAAAGGTATAGTGTAGTGTATTGCTTTTATTAGGTTAGTGTACCTGATCTAACCCATAACAATACTTTTATTAGGTTAGTGTAACCTAATATATTCAGGTTTATTGAGTCATGTTAAATAATCATTTAGTTTAATATATTTTTTTAAATGAAATTAATTAATTTATTTACATTTTTTTAAAAAGATGGTACCACATGAAGCACATTTGTGGCCCTGGCTGCAAAAACCCAACTCAGAGATCAAAATCATAGTGAAATTAATGGTTGAAATCAAACTTTGATGCTTGTTATCTCATAATTACATTTTGAGACTTTAGCCTCCATGGATTTCACAGACGGTCACATTTTAGATTACCTGAATAAACAACAAAAACAACAACACATTATAGTGTATGTGCTGTATATCATCCTAAATGTATTATTATTATTATTATTATTAATTTATTTATATTTTTATCAAATAGATTTTCCCTCCGCGATTCCCTGCTACTCCAGTAGGAGGAGCAGCTGGTACATCGGTGAGTCAGTAAAGTTGTTCTCTCTGAAAGCTTGCGAAACACTTGTCATCTACCATTGCCTTTTTTGATAAACTCAGCTCAATCAGTTGAATCAATATAGAACGTGTGTATTCGAAAAGAATAGAACATGATTACTACTATTATTGACGCTGTGGCATCTCTCTCTCTCTCACGCAGTAAATATGTTACAGCTTTGAGCAACATATTATTCTTGTTTAATTTTATTCTAACATAAACAATAGAATAGACACATTTACATATACAACACATTTCTAAAGCCTTCTTTTTTCTTCTCTCACAGATGAACAGATAAGCTGACCACCAATTCCTGAATGACAAAGAAGCTGCTTGTAGTGTTTAACAAATTGACTGCGTAAACCCTTTCCTGCATTAGAAATAATGACGATCAATCAAATGGTGCTTTCTCAGTGGCTTGATGCACGAGAGCCATAAAAATCATCGCTTTTTTGCTACCATGTTTTTAAATCTTGATTTATAGTAAACCGTTCAATCAATTCCTTGCCTCCTTGTGTGTGTTATTGTGCTATTATGATTATTGTTGTACAGTTATTATGCTGTTAATACAAATAAATAACAATTCCTAGTTTGGCTGATAATAAATATCATCCCAAAAAAATGCTCTTCCAAACCTGACATTGTTGTTTTTTAGTTGCAATTAAACACCACTAAGTTCATACACAAAAAACAAACTCAGTTCCTATTTTTGATAGCACTGATATTTTGTACCTTCAAAATATAGCTTCAAAAACGCAGGCTGGTCATATCAGCACTTCCCTCGACTATCATCATTATAATAATAGCTGACAGACAGGCAGACAATGTCTGACTACAGGTCATTTTCTCAATAACCATCTTTCTCTATCTGTGAGCTCATGATAAAGTCGAGTCTGAGAGGGATTGGCTAAGCGCTAAGCCAGAGACCAAATAAAAGCATGACAACTCTCAGAGCTAGTGACTCTACCTGCAGCCAAGGTGAGAAAGCTGGTTGACCATTTTGTGCACTGTAAGTGGTTCTGTTTCTGTGTTATCACTCAGCACTAGCGCTCCTTCATTGGTTTCGACAGTCTTAGCTCACGTCTTTGTTTGTGTAAGGTTGGTGAATCCATAAACATGTGGACATCTCTCCTGTGTCTTCTTCTGGCTGGTGCAGTATCTGCAGCACCAGTAAGTACACATTAAACCTTTTCTCAGGAATGTCTTTGTAGTTCTCAAAGCTTGTTTTTATGTCTCTGGGTCGCCCAGCTGTTGAAACTGATCCTTTTTTCCCCATGTGTTTATCTCTCTGTCTAGCTTTCACCGTTTTTCAATTATCTCCCTCATTATGGCAACCCGAAGCAGGTGGGGTTAACCACACATGAACATTCTAAACTTTTCCATATCCATAAACAGCACAACAGTCTTCGGAATCTTTTGCTTTAACCATAATCAACACATTGCACCCATTTTCATGATGAAAATAGCTCTGTAATATTACACTGTATGATGACATGCTACTCCGTGACATGTGTTTATATGATTTATAGGTTTAACTGACTATCCTGAGGTTGTTACAGAACATGTACTGAACATTGTATTTATAACCGAACTAAACATGTTCTTTTTGGGCATCCACTTAAATGAATTTGAACTCCTTTCATTTGTATTTTAGGGGAATAATGGTGGCTTCCAGGGAATACCAGCACAGCCACATCCTGGTCTGAACGGTCCATTCAGCATGGAAATCGTATGGGCTATTTTTTTCTGTTTTTTTATTACCTTAAATATAACAATTCAAAGTGGTACCAGGATACTTTGTAAAACAAGGATAGCTTAGTATAATTGAATTACCACTATAGTTTTTAATAATATTTTGAATTAGTTTTATTTTTAATTTAGTTAAAGTTTCAGTAATTTTGTTGTGGTGTTTTTTTTGTATTTTTTTCACAGACGGTCACATTTTAGATTACCTGAATAAACAACAAAAACAACAACACATTATAGTGTATGTGCTGTATATCATCCTAAATGTATTATTATTATTATTATTATTAATTTATTTATATTTTTATCAAATAGATTTTCCCTCCGCGATTCCCTGCTACTCCAGTAGGAGGAGCAGCTGGTACATCGGTGAGTCAGTAAAGTTGTTCTCTCTGAAAGCTTGCGAAACACTTGTCATCTACCATTGCCTTTTTTGATCATTCCCTACTCAAGCGTTCATCAAATACTCTCTCCCTAAACTTCCCGGCAGAAAAAGCGTGGAAATCGTGAGTGAACAGACAAATTCATCAAAGACTAGAGATGTTTAAGTGCATAAAGTCACTGATGCAGAGTGTTGCTTTAGCCTCTGCAAATGTCTCATTAAATTACAGAGATAAACATAATTTTGTGACGCAATAAAATAATTGGTGGTTTTGTTTTTCTCCTTAAGTTTTACCCATATGACTTCAGTCAGCGTCAGGTAACGATTGTTTTTCTGCGAGGACTACACTATAAAAACAAGTTGGTGTAGGATTTGCTTTGAAACTGTGAATGTGTATAAAATGCTGATGGTAATATTGTAACCAGTTTGAATAAGGTTACAGTAAAAAGTAAAACATACTCTTGTTTTATTTACAATCACGTTTTTACAGTGTAGATGTTGTTTTGATTTCAGGACCAACCCAATATTCCCCTGATACCTCAAATTCCAAATGTAAATTTTTGGAATTACTTCAACATTTTAACATTATTATTTAAAAAAAAACATGTTTGCGAATGTTTGTTTGAATGTGATCTTTTATATGTTTGTGAATATACAGATCTTCCCCTTCGATTTTATGCCACAGACAGTTCCCCAGCAGCCACCTGTGGTGAGACAATTACGCTTTGAACTTCTTTGGTTTCATAATCACTTGCACTGTTATTGGAATTTGCTGAAAGACTGAATCCTGAAACACGGTGAGCATTTATTACATTTTTTTACACAGAACCCACCATTCCAGGATGGTCCTCCACAAACCCAAGAGCCTCAGCAGCAAACCCAGCTGGAGCAGCAGGCTCAGACAGGACAGGTGTGTGTGTGGGTTTGAATGAATATGTGTGAGAAGCTAAAAACACAGCCATCAGCAAAGCTCTGATTTGACAACATAATTACTCCTTCAGTGCTGCATTTAGCCAGGATGTGTTTAACCAAAATGAGAACTTGCGAATCTCGTATGTCAGCAGCAGTTTTGCAGAAACAGCAGATTATGCGTGCCACACACTTGTTAATTATCCTCACTTTTTTTCAGGTGTCTAACAAGCCATGAAGACTGGTGAGATACTGCTTAGGTGTATCTGAATTTGATTAATTCATCCTAATTTTGAATTGCAACACAGTATTGTTTAATATTGTTTTCGACATTGTTTGAAATCACTCTTTCATGCTTGTTTAACATATCATTTCTTATGCCCACAGGCACATCTTTGAAGCTGAGTGAGAAAAAAAAGTCAAACAACAAGAGTGTGTTAAACTTTTTTTGTCTAATGCTATTTAGAATTAGTACATACTTTTTTTCTGGAATAATAATTGAAAATGAGCTGATTTTTTTACATGAAGAAGATGATTTACCCATATGTATAACAACATTTTTTAAGTTCTGTAATTGCATGGTATACAGATAGAAATGTGCTGGTTTTGGTCTTATTCTGATGTGAAAAAATTATACTTTAACTGAATATCAAACAAATTTCAATGAATATTTTCTAATGTAGGCCTTTTGTGAGTAGTGTTTCAGTAATAAAGTCGATTAAACAAAACTTTTTGAACATTTTATCTGCACTTTTCATCCTAGTGCCAGCTGTTACAAAGCAGGACATGCAGTTTTAAATGCAATTAAAATAATACAAAAAGATTTTTGTTGCAAGGTTAAAGTGAAATATTATGCACCTTCACCTTGAACATTCTGCAGTATAATAAACATGATACAGCATGATCAGAATCATTAAATTCATGCTCGTTAAAACTTTAGTAGAGCAAACACTTTGTTAGGCCATGTTCAACCTCAAGAAAGCTTGAAGATGTGTGTATTAGAGAATGATTTAATATGCTCATACAAACAAAATTCAGGGAACTTAACGAGTAATCTATGAAAAGTTTTGCAGTTTCTACAAGTAATGCCAGGTCATCAGGAATTCTAATAGTCTCTTTACAAGCATACAAAAATAAACACAAGCACTCACAAAATAATAGATCTACAGTATGTTAGCAATCAATCCATTTCTTATATATATACAGTGGGTACGGAAAGTATTCAGACCCCCTTAAATAATTTACTTCTTTTATGATATTTGCTCATTCTCAACTCTACAAGTATTTCTGGTAGTTTAAACAACATAGATATCTTTATCTATTATCTCAATATGCCAGCAAAATCATATGACTTTAGATGCAATCATTTTGTTACCTTAAATATATAACTGTATTTAGGATATTTTTGCCTTAAACTTTTAGTTTACCATTTTTTCTCTGTGGAGTTAAGGGTTTTATTTTGTGATAACTGTAAATTATCATGATGGTTAGAAGACTATTAAATAGGTAAATGGACATGAAATGTTGAATCAAAGAAAATAATTATTTATAAAGTAATTATTATACAAAAATATTTTACCACTGAATACTGTGGCAAGATATTGGCAAGATAAGATATTTCAGATAAAATGATAAAACAATTTAATGAATAAAAAAAATTAAATAATAAAAAGGTTCTGTTTTGCAAAAAAAGAAATAAATAAAATGAATGAATAAATAAACACACACACACACACACACACACACACACACAGGTTTGTTTTTGTGAAAAGTGGGGACATCCCATAGGCGTAATGGTTTTTCTACTGTACAGACCGTATATTCTATTGCCCTACACCGACCCTACCCCTAAACCTACCCCTCACAGGAAGGAA